GCTCGGGACAACGAGCTCCTGCTCGACTCGATTGAGGATCTGCGCAATCCCGTCAAGCGAATGACTAGGCAAGGCGAGCCATGCGCGAGGAGACCATTGATCCACTCCAGTAGCGGGAGCCGCAGAAAAAAACAATGGTACGCTTGGGCGAGATCGCGAACTTCGAACTCGGGAGCCGCGCAGCTAGCTGAGCTGCTGCTCTCAGCTCCCCGGTACCGCTGAAGAGCGCACTGCGATCGCCCTCCGGAGTCCACCAGCTGCCCCACAAGTGCCCCCGATATCTCATCATTTCTGCACGGGGTCTGCGCGGCCCCGTCAAATCCCCTCAGGTACCGAACCATGGCGCGGTCATCCGATTTCACCCATTTTTGGAGCTTGGGGGCGCCTCCAGGGAGACTGGTGCGGAGCCGCCCCCGAATCCTGGCTTCTGTGCCTGCCTTGGCCTTGACCCAAGCCTGCTTGCAAACTAGTGCGGCCTTGTCGACCAGCTCGCGGGCCATGTCCACGCTAGCAGAGATGCCAGCCATCGCCTGCGCCCGCCAGGGGGCTTCGGCGGGCTCGTAAAGAGGCCCGAGGTGCACCTGCGGCTGGTCCGCCAGGCGCCGCAGCAGAGCCTGCAGATCGAACGAGCGCCTGGAACCAGGAGCTTCCGTCAGACACTTCAGAAGGCCACTGGGTCGGGAATGGACCAGGGACCAGAAGCGCAGATTCTCGCGCGCAAAGCTTTGTTTCTTGAGCGATCCCGAGAACGTCCCGAGCCCGGGACCTTTTCCCAACGCTCGATCAGGTTGTGCATCGGCACGCGCCCGAGGCAGGATCGCGTGCTCGGCGGCCCTGGGCCACGACGCATACGCCCGAGACAGATCCGAGGAAAGGTGATCAGCAGTGTGCTTCAGGAAGGCCTCCGAGACGTTTTCAGGAATCACCGCGTCCAAATCATCTTGCATAGCCCAATTAGAATAATGCAACCACGTGTTGTCAGGACCCACGGCAGGAGGAAATGCAGTGCACTTGACTCTGCGTATCGCAGCCAGGGACAGCGCGTCCTCGTCGATGGCAGCCTTAGGACAGACATGCGTCTTCAGCGGCACGTCCAAGATAGCCGACAGAGAGATGGCATGCGCGAAATCTTGGGAGCAAGCGAGATACTCGATCATCGTTCCACCCGCATCGCAGGCGAACTCAACATTGTCTGGCACAATCGGGCGAGATCTAGTCAACTCAAACCAGCCAGATTCCCCAGGGACCTCAGGAGCATTCGTGAAATGGCCCAAGAGAAACCAGGGGATAGCCTGGGTCCGAATACACCGACGCATATCGCGCATCCGATTCAGATTTTCGCCCGCCAGACCAATGGACGGAATCGGGTAAGACGCGCCAATAGCAACGGAGTGATCATGCAGCTTCGGTTCCAGGGAATGCCAACACGTGCCAGACCCAACCTGGGACACGGGACACGTTGGAACACATAGCCAACAACATATGGAACGGGAGGCCCTTTTGGGCCAGGATGCCCATTGCACCGTGCGTGCCGCCTCCAGGGGAATCCAAGTCCGCCTGTAAGAAGGGGGCCACCCCATTGCACGAGCATTCTTCTTAGCAGTAGGAAGTGCGCCTTGACGCACGTGGTGTTCGGCCGCCAGGAAAGCATCAGCCTTAGTGCTAGCTTCAGCCACATACCCCTTAGCCAGCGCTGACCGCGACGTGATGTTAGCAAACGTCACCTGCAAATGGCCACTCTTCTTGCGAACCCGCTATTTCTCAGCGGGTACAGGCTGGCCAAAGAGAGTGCCCGCTTCCAGCGGGCGCAGGCTCAAGCCCGGTGGCCGCTGCCTGACAGAACGTTGTGGCAAAGGAATTAGACTGCTGGGCAAAGGCACGGCGGGCCCGATTGCCTGCGCGGGCCTCGGCAGCCTTCTGGACCAGGTTGCCGCGCCGCTCAGAGTCCTGGTCGTTGATGCCAGTCTCGACAACGCGCTTACGAAACCCACGGAACTCAGCAAGATTACCCACATTACCGGCGTCAGTGACCTCACTGCCAATCTCCTCCATCTGCACGTCACGACCGGTAGCTTGGACCTTCGCCCACGCCCGCATTGCCTTCCACTGCTCACTGCTCGGCGCCGATGGCAGACCTGCACTCGAGCCGAGCGAGGCCCCCATCGTCCAGCGCGTGCAGATTGGCCTCCACCCACGCGAAGTGTACCACGCCTGTAGCCGTGAGACCAGGAACAGGAGGGCCCTGTCAGGAGGCGCAGGGGCAGGGGCGACACCAGCACGAGCATCTGCAGCATGCCTTTCGCAACGTACAGGATCTGCATGCGGAGCAGGCTGGGCCTGCGCAGGCTGGCCAGGCTGTGGCGCCGCCTGAGACTCGACGTGCTTCTCCTCCGCTTTCGCGAGTGCTTCGCGATGACGGACGACAGCTTCATGCTACGGTCGCGCATCGTATTGGGCCACCCTCTCCTTGCGACTCGCCACCTCCATCTCGCGAGATAGCTTAGTACGCCGAGCCATACGCTTCTCGATGGAGTTTTCCCACAGGCTCCCGAGGGAGAGGAGCGGGTGGCGGCGGGGACGCCTTGATCTGACCAAGGGCGCCCGCCATGTGAGGGTACTTCGCCGCCAGAGACCGAAGCTCAGCAGCGAAAGGGTCAGCAGCATCAGGGCGAGGAACGACTTCACCACTAGGTGCGCCACCCGCAGGAAGGTACTCACCGCCGCACTTGCTGCAGGCCCAGTTGTCGAAGTGTTTGAACTCCCAGTGGCCGCAGGACCCGCAGACGGAGTATGTTGTGGCGCGCTTGTCCACCTTGGCGAGGCCGGTGCCATTGCGCTGCAACGCGCTTCGCCGCCGCCTGCGTCCACGGGGTACGAGACCGCCATGCCATGAGGACTGAACACGCATGCTCCAGCAAGAGCTCACAAAACGGAGACGAGACCACGGTCCAGCGCACAGCCTAGATGTGTTGCCACAACAGTTCGGGCAGATGCCATGGATGCAACCAGAGCTGATCGTGATTCGGTATGCCACTTTAGCATCACACGTTTAGCCTTGAACCAACATGGCTACGGCAAGGAGGAGGAGGCGGAGGAGGAAGAGGCGGAGAAGGCGGAGGAGAAGGAGGAGGAGGAGGAAGAGGAGGAGGAGGACATGGAGGACGCATTGGAGGGGCAGGAACTGGAGGAGGAGGAGAAGGAGGCGGAGGAGGACGAGGAAGAGGAGGCGGAGGAGGAGGAGGAAACGTAGGAGGAGGCGGAGGCGGAGGCGGAGACAGAGGCAGAGGAGGAGGAGGATGAGGAGGAGGAGGAGGAGGAAGAGGAGGGGGAGGAGGAGGAGGAGGAGGAGGAGGAGGAGGAGGAGGAGGAGGAGGAGGAGGAGGAGGAGGAGGAGGAGGAGGAGGAGGAGGAGTAAGAGGAGGAGGATGATGAGAAGGAGGAGGAGGGGGAAAGATGGAGGGAGGGAGGGAGGGAGGGAGGGTAATGATGCTGAGGGTGATGATGAGAGTGATGAGGATGGTGATGCTGCTGCTGATGATGCTGATGCTGATGCAGATGCTGATGCTGATGCTGCTTAGGATGCTGACGCTAATGCGGATGATTATCATGCTGCTGGTGATGGTGATGATGATATTGATGGTGATTGTTAGGATGACGACGACGATGCTGATGGTGATGATGCTGATGTCAATGCTGATTATGTTGATGCTTATGATGATGATAATAATGACGAATGTGATGGTGATGGTGATGGTGATGGTGATGATGATGCTGATCATGCTGATGCTGATTATTGTTATGATGGTGATGCTACTGCTCTGGCTGTCGATGATGATGATGCTGTTGATGATGGTGAGTATGCTGATGATGACGATGATGATGACGATGACGTTGACGAGTATGAGGATGAGGATGCGGATGAGGATGATGATGCATAAGACGATTCAGATGATGCTGATGCTGATGCTGATGCTGATGATGTTGATGATGCTGATGTCGGCGATGATGCTGATGCTGATGCTGATGCTGATGCTGATGATGCTGATTACGATGATGATGATGAGGATGATGATGATGATGATGATGATGATGATGGTGGTGGTGGTGGTAGTTGTGGTGATGATGCTGTTGCTGCTGATGAAGATGGTTTTGATGATGATGATGAAGATGAATATGATGATGCAGATGAAGATGTTGATGAGTATGATGATGCTGCTGCTTCTGCTGATGATGCTGACACTGATGATGCTGATGCTGCTGCTGATGATGATGATTCTTATGTTGATGCCGATGATGATGCTGATGATGATGCTGCTGCTGCTGCTGATGATGATGATGATGCTGATGCTGATGCTGATGATGATGATGATGATGATGATGATGATGATGATGATGATGATGATGCGGTCCAGGGCTATCTTGATGCTGACGTTGAGGACGACGAAGCTGATGAAGACGGTGGTGGTGACGATGCTGAGGATGCGGATGCTAATGATAATGGTGACGATAACGATGATGGTGACGATCATCATCATGACACCGATGCTGATTCTGACTCCTTGTCCTCAATCTGGCGACCGGCTCTTAGGCTGCTGGAGAGCCCTAAACTTGCCCGAGAAAGCCCCTAGAGGAGCCCCAGAGGCCACTAGGACGGTTCCAAGAGCCGTCAGGAGCCTCCCGAAGCGACCCAAGTGATCTCGAAGAGCCCAGCCTGACGGCTTCCGAGTGCGTCAGAGTGGCCAAAGGCGCCCTAAGACAGCCTGCGAAGCCCCCTCGAGGCCCCAAAGCAGCACCACGAGGCTCTCAAGAGGCTTCCAAGAGTCCAACAGGACGTTTTCATCATTCAATAACTAATGGGAAACTGGAGGTTCTGAAGAACTCGCCTTTTCGCTCTCGATGGGCCGGCCTCGAAGGCCTCCAGATGCCCTCCAGACGGCGCGCGTGGCAGCCTCGCCTCACGTGGGCCCCCTGAGCATCTTGCGGACCCGCCCCGCCTCGAGGATCCCGTGTCCTTCATCACGGCGATCTTGGCCTTGAAGCACAAGTGCGCGGGGGGGAGAGAGTGGGAGGCCGTCGGGGACTGTGCGAGGAGGAATGGCGGGCGGCACCAGACGGATGGAGCCCTGCCCTCTACACCTGAGCATTTCTTCCCCCTCGGTCTTGCCTTCCTCCCCTTCCCCCCCCTCCTATTTCTCCTCTCTTCCCCGTCCCCATCCCTGGGAACTTTGACCTCGAGCAGGTCTGAAGCCTCCCTGGGGCAAGGGCCCACCTGTTGCAGGTGGGACGCTGCGGGCCGCCGACGACGACGAGTGTAGACAACCATGGCAGGGTGGAGGGAAAGGCGATTTCGAGGGTCCACTTTTCAGATTAGCCCACAATCTGACATCAATTTGCATCGGTGGTGCGTCGGTTCTGTCCCCGTGGTCCAACCACAGTCAGGTACGATCAGTTCGTGAAGGAGTCCTTCAAGGAGAACAAGGAGTTCCAGATTGCGCAGAAGCAGGCGTTCGAAAGCTTCCTGAACAAGGATGGTGCCCATCTGAACGGCTGCCAATCTTCGTCTCGAGACGCTAGACATGGGTGCGATACGAACTTGGGCGATAACCAGCGGCGCACACAGCCTGTTTCGAGCATGGTCCGCTGTTGTCTCCTCGGGCGCGCGTTACCCGTCTGATGGCGACTGCCGCCTCCCAAGCAGCAGTCGCTTTCAGTTTTGGCTGGCACCTGATGCTGGACATCGTCGCCAAGGGTGCTGCTCTCGGTCCACTCCATCGCCCTGTCGCCAAACACCCCTTCGGGAAGACGCTTACTGAGCATCAGTGTTCGAGGGAGGCGCGCGGCGTCCTCCGCCGCGTTTTCATGCCCAGGGTCACGCGGCGGCCCAGCGCCAGGCTATTGCTGACTCGCTCGCAGCGTTCCGGATTACCCCTAGGATTTGGAGAGTCAACAAGAAGCAATGAGTCCTTTGGACCCGTTGCCCAGTCCCCGAGGTATTCGCATCCGTTGCTGTTCGCATTGCTGCCCTCGCCCTGCACGTCTGTGTGCCCAGGGGCTGCCTCGCAGCGTAGCTGACTGATGCTGGGAAGTGGGGCATCTGGGTGACAAGTCGGAGCACCGCTAGAGGCTGCCACACGGATCACCATGCGAGACGCGGTTGGCGTTCTTTGCCACCTCGGTATGTTTGGGGCGGTCTCGGGGCGCAGCCAGCCGCTGCCACGAGACAGCCCTGTGCTCTCTGGAGGCTTTCCTTCTTCTCGTGTTGCTTTTGTTTCCAGGGGATACTACAGGAATGGGGGGAGACGTGGGCCAGGAGGAAGAAGAGAGGAGCAGGCGAGGCGACGCGAGGCGGGGAGTGTATCGGACCAGAGGAGGTGACAGATGAGGACGAGCAAACGAGCGCCAGAGTCATGTGTTCTCCGCCATGGAGGCCGCCCGTGGAGGCCGTAGCCTCGGAAGTGTGGGTTTTGTGCTTGCCCTTCGCTTTGGCGAGGCGCACCTGCCGAGAACCGACTCACTTGGCCCAGCCCACGGTGTACTTCTCTCATCACATGTGTCCAGATAATCCCAGAACCATGCTAGCATCTCTTGCCACTCATCGCGGTCGGAGCAAGTCATGCGCTTGTCTTTTTTTGCTTGTTCGTTGGGCTGCTCCATCCTCCCCTCGGCGCATCCGTGAGAGACCACATGAGTATCTCCGTCGTGCTCCCTTTTGTCTGGCGTGCTCTCCCCGCCGAACTCTTCCCCACTCTTGTCCACGTGCCTGCTCTCGTTGGCGTCGGTCGCGATCTCACCGTCTTCTTTGGGGAGGCGCTCAGATCAGGGAACACTGGTACCGTTTTCGAGGCGAGCTGATTGTAGACCACCCCCTGGTCGCATCAGACATAGTTGCTGGGGTCTATCCCGAGTGAAGCTGCGCTCGCCAAGCCGCAAAAGCTTCGCGGGGCCTTGCTCCTCTTTGCTCCTGGCTCCTTCAGCCAAGTGTCGAGGGAGAGTGGGCAGGGGCACGGCGGCTTTCAGAGGCCCTTGGATGCTTCAGAGGCTTTCGGAGACTTTACGGAGGTTCCCCGAGGGGGGCCCGGGAGGGTAGGGAGCGGAGTGGGGGAAGGATGTTGGCAACCCAGGGGGCCGGGGGGGCCAGAAGCAATTTGTCAGACCTCCATTGGCAAACAAGAGTCAACATCACACCCTTCATGTTGGCCAACCGACATGGGGAGGCGCGTCGGCCGTCAGGACACGAGGACCGCCCAGTACCTGTCCCTGTTCGTGGATGATATGTTCCGGAAGGGCCTCAAGGGCATGTCCAGCGACGTAGAGATCGACTCCAACCTGGAACAGGCCTTCAGAAGGGGGTCTGGTTGACCCAGACCTCTGGCGACTCAGAAAGGGAGGTAATCTTCTCTGCCTCCAGGGTGGCTTCGCCCGCTCGGGATGAACAACCGGTCTTGGGCAAGGGGTCGAGAGGTCGTGGGGCCACGCCGCGAAAAAGTGACGACGTCGGACGTCCCTGGAAGCAAAGAGGAGGTGTAAAGCTTTCTAGTGGGTCCCGGAGAAGGACCAGAGAAGGGAAGGGGGTGGATGAAGAGGAAGGAGCAGGGGGACGAGGAGCTGGAGCAAGAGGAAGAGCAGGAGTTGGATTATAAGAAAAGGGTGAGGAGGAGGAGGAAGAAGCAGCAGTAGTAGTAGTAGTAGTAGTAGTAGTAGTAGTAGTAGTGCTAGTAGTAGTAGTAGTAGTAGTAGTAGTAGTAGTAGTAGTAGTAGTAGTAGTAGTAGTAGTAGTAGTAGTGGTAGTAGTGGTAGTAGTAGAAGTAGTAGAAGTAGTAATAGTAGTAGTAGCAGCAGCAGCAGCAGTAGTAGTATTAGTAGAAGTAATAGTAGTAGTAGTAGTAGTAGTAGTAGTAGCAGCAGCAGCAGTAGTCGTTGTTGTCGTAGAAGCAGTTGTAGTCGTAGTCGTAGTCGTAGTCGTAGTAGTAGTAGTAGTAGTAGTAGTAGTAGTAGTAGTAGTAGTCGTAGTCGTAGTCGTAGTAGTAGACGTAGTACTAGTAATAGTAGTAGTAGTAGTAGTAGTAGTTCCAGTAGAGCAAGTAGTAGCGCTTTGGAAATAGTAGTAGAAGCCGTAGTAGTAGTAGTAGTAGTAGTAGTAGTAGTAGTACTAGGAGTAGGAGTAGTAGTATTCGTAGTAGTAGTAGTAGTAGTAGTAGTAGTAGTAGTAGTAGTAGTAGTAGTAGTAGTAGTAGTAGTAGTAGTAGTAGTAGTAGTAGTAGAGTAGTAGTAGTAGTAGTGGTAGTAGTAGTAGTAGTAGTAGTAGTAGTAGTAGTAGTAGTAGTAGTAGTAGTAGTAGTAGTAGTAGTAGTAGTAGTAGTAGTAGTAGTAGTAGTAGTAGTAGTATTATTACTAGTAGCAGTAGTAGTAGCAGTAGTAGTAGTAGTAGTAGTAGTAGTAGTAGTAGGCCTCGCGTTTGCCTCGCTGGGGGTGCTGGGGCCGCCCCGTGCACCCTCGCGTTGCCGATGGGCGCCTGGCCATTTTGGCCTGCCATCTCGGCCTCCTCAAGCGTCTTTTTTGGCTAGTAGGCCTTGGTGGCGGTACTGGGGTCGCCCCGTGTGGTGCTTTGCCGTCGCTTGCGCCTCACTGTGGGCTGTTTGGCCAGCTGCCCTCAGCTAGGCGCCTGCCGCTGCTC